AACCCTGCCAGTGTTCCAGGGCGCAGCGGTCTCCAGCGAGCATATCTGTCAGTTACCGCCTGGCAACGTAGCGGCACTGAGAGGCTCGAGGCCTCTGCGGAGGTCCCCAGAGCAGCTAGTTCCATCGTCCCTGTCGGCGTGCAGACGCTTCAAGGCACCGAACTAGCCGTTCTGGGCACACCAGAGATCAGTCTCGAGAGACTGATTCCCTTAGTAGATTATTTAGCAGTGCGGAAGCTACTGCCAAATGTGTCTCAATGGGTCATGCGTACTGTAGTTAGAGGCTACAGAATCCAGTTCAGTTCTCGTCCGCCTCGATTCAACGGGGCCCCCACTCTAGTGGGTCCCGAGCAGGTTCTGGTATTAGAACAAGAAGTAGTTACTCTCTTAAAGAAGGAGGCCATCAAGGTGGTCTCTCCGCACGAGACAGACTCCGGGTTCTACAGCCGGTACTTCATTGTTCCGAAGAAGGATGGGGGATTGAGTCCTATTTTAGATCTGCGCCTATTGAACCGCTCAGTCATGCGACTGAAATTCAGCACACTCGCACTGAAACAGGTAGTGTCTCAGACCAAGTCCGAGGACTGATGTGTCACGATCAATCTAAAAGATGCATATATCTCCATCCTTTCTCATCATAGGAAGTTCCTGAGGTTTGCTTTTGGGGGCAAAAGCCTACCAATACTGGTTCTTCCTTAGGCCTTGCACTCTCACCCCACACTTTCACGACTCAACCACATTGATGATTGGTTGATATTAGATCAGTCTGAGCGGATGGCAGTTCGACATCGAGATGTCGTTCTCACTCACACGAAAGAGCTGGGGTTAAGACTTAACGCCAAGAAAAGTGTGCTTTCTCCAGTACAGAGAACCACTTATCTGGGCGTGGTGTGGGATTCGACCACGATGCAGGCATGTATGTCTCCTGCTCGGATCGAGCTGATCCTCACCTCAGTCGCGAGAGTAAGAGAAGGCTGGTCACTCACTGTCAAGCAGTTCCAAACTGCCTGGGCTGATGACAGCTGTGTCCAACGTAATAACTCTTGGCCTGCTGTACATGAGACCCCTACAGTGGTGGCACAAGAACAAGGGGGTCTCCCCGAGGGGAAACCCGCTTTGCATGCTCAAGGTCACGCGAAGGTGCCTACGTGCCTTAGACATGTGGAGGAAACCTTGGTTCTTGTCTCAGGGCCCGGTGCTGGGAGCTCCTTGTCGCCGCGTACGCTAGCGACGGATGAATCCCCCACCGGTTGGGGTGCGGTCATGAGTGGCCACCCTGCCCGCGGTCTGTGGAGCGGTCACCATCTGACATGGCATATAAACTGCCTGGAGATGCTGGCCATGCTTCAAGCACTAAGACACTTTCTCCCAGACCTAAGAGGTCACCATGCGTTGCTGCGCACCGACAACTACTCATATGATATCGCACTGTCCCCGCTGGTTCTCTCTGACTCATCAAGCTCCACTGGGGCTGGATGCCATGGTACAGACGTGGCCGAGGCTTCGTCTGTATGCCTTTCCTCTGATTTTTCTGCTCCCGGGAGTTCTGGAGAGAGTGAGCTGTGACGGGCCTGTCTGTTGTTAGTATCCCCGTGCTGGCCGGGCCGAGTGGGTCTCAGGCCTGATTTCTCTCCTCGACGGCGCTCTATGGGAGATTCCCATCAGGAGAGATCTCCTCTCACAGGCGGAGGGCACGCCC